CCAAAAGATCAGCATGAACCAATTCCAGAGGTTTAGTTGCACATTTCCATGAAAGTTTAAAAGCTTCAGAAGATAATTTCCCCTGAGCACAGCCCTTACAGGAAGAAGTCTCCCCCTGTATTTGTATATCAGGAAGACCCAATTGGCAGAGATGGCAAAGTATAGCCTGTGCAGGATGGCAAAGGTGATTGTGCCATAGCAATTCCAGTGAAGTCCTAACCAGAGGGCAAAGGACCACATATGCATTGGTAGGTGGAAGTGGTATGCCCACAAACCAATGTAGTGGTGAAGTTGGAGAAGCTAAATGCACCTCTAAGACAATCCAGCCATCTGGTGCTTGTATCACCTTGTGTGTGAGTGTCACAGTGCTGTGATACCCATTTTTCAACAGTGCATTTCTCAAGCAAAGTCTCTTTGAAAACAGAGGACTGTAAACAACATTATGGAGGGATAAATTCTGCCCATTTTCAAGGCAAATAACCACTGTTCCTTCACCTAAGAGTTGTACTCAACTTAACCCAGCAGTAGATGCAAGGGAAGGAGTCTTAAACTCTCAAAAAGTAAGGAAATCAGTTTTAAATGGTGTCACATGATGTGAAGCACCAGAATCTAACATCCATATTGACTCACCCTTTGGAAGGTTCTTAAATGATAAGTGCACACCCAAGGGGTAGCAGTCAAAGGCATCATATGCATTCCTATTGAATTCACCAGGGAAATATCCCATGGCTGATTTGTTAGGGTCATACTCGATATCTGGATTATGTTTTATATGGAAAGGTTTACATGGCACTGGTACAGGCACAGATTCATGAAAATCTTTTAGAAACATAGGGTGGTTTTTCAATACTTGGACAGATCTTCAGTTGCAATGATCATGTCCTCAAACATCTCTGGCAGAGTGATTAAAATCCCTGTCTGCCTTCAGGGACAACCCACCATTTCCCTCAACATCCCTAATCACCACTATGTCCTTGTGAGCCAAAACAGGATCTGCCACTCAATTTGAGGGCAAGCTGGGACTACAAGGACATATCCTGTCCTCCCCAATAGTGGGAAGGGGAATCTGCCTCAAATGAGAGATCTGAGTCTCCCATTCCCAGGGTTCCCATAGGGGTGAGACCACTTGGTGTAACGCAAGGGCTGCTCGATGACATATAGAACAGGTGCAGGGAAAATTAGTTGGAGGGATTTTAACATGAATCTTGACTGACTCAACTAGATCTGGCTGATGGTTCTGGATTTCCTCCAGATACCAGGAAGCTAGTTGGCCTGTGGAGATATCAACCAGGAGATTAGGAGTAAGCTCAACTAATTCCATGGTGGTTGTTATGTCTTGACAAGTGAGATCTGGATCATATGCCATTGTTTCACCAATGACATGAGAACCAATATAAGTACTGAGTTTGTTTGAGTAGACATTCTCAACCAGAGCAGGTTGCTCAGGAGAAATTTCAGGAGTTTGTTCACAAGGTATTTCAATAGCAGTGATATCGAATTCATCAGCAGCATATTCATACTGTTGATAGTCAGGAATTTCTTCAATATAAATGGATTCAACATTTTCCACTCCTTCGACTTCAACATTATTGGCTTGGGCTTTGCCCTTGCCACATCTATGGTTTTGTCCTTGGCCTCAGCCAGAGGAACTGGACTGCTGCTGTTGTTGTTGTTGTGGGTAAGGCATATAATTGCCATGTCCACTACCTCTGTGTGAACCTCCTCAACCTCCTCAGTTTCCATGGAATCCAGATCCACCACCTCCATGGTGATCTTGGGTATTGTGCCCACCATGGCAGATTTGACAAAGCAGTGGCTTATTCATTCAAGCAAGCAAGGAATTAGATTCCTGCTTAACACTAGTGCCAGAAGTAGATGGTTTTTCCTGCTGGGGAAGCAGGGACTTTCCAGATTTATGACTCCAGACTTCTTTCATACAAGGTATGATGGTATTGGCAGATAATTGATCAGCAGGGATAGAAGAAAGGATATTGATGGGAGCCTGTTCCCAGGCTTGGGACATAGAATGGATGAGAATCAGGGCTTTCATTTTGTCATTAAGTCCAACTCCTTGGCCTTGGATAGCAGCCATAATCATAGTAATCTCTGAGATCTTGACCATGATATCATCCTTCAGTTTAATTTGGATATGTACCAACCATTGGAATTCCATAAAGGTTGTCACAGCAGAAGGTTCACCATATTTGGATTTTAATTTGTCCCATTTCTTTTTAGAAGTATCTTGGCCATCAATAGCCATTGTGATCATTGGATCACAATATAAGGTAATAATACCTTGAGCGTGAGTATCAGAGATGCACCAAGGTCCCTGTTGAGCAATGTCAGCAGGTATAGGAGTAGCACCACTAATGATATCCATAATGCTGAGAGTTTGCATATAGGCTTTCATAAGAACCAACCAAGAGGCATAATTGACTCTGTTAAGTTTTGGAATCTGCTTTGACAATCCTTTGGACATCTTTAGAAGTCCGTTAGCAAGTGTTTGTAAAGGAATGACTTGGTAGGATGAGTCAAATAGGATGGAGGATTTAGTAAATGATCCTGTTGGCATTTCAGTCTGCAAGCAGCAGCTCTAGCAGATTGAGATTTCCAGTTACAACGAGGCTTGGGGATATGTGGATGAGGGTTTTGCCACATTTTAACAATAGGAGTGCCTCTCTCAGCAAATTGGCAAAGTGTGATGCAAGAGTTATTTCTCTCAAGGAACTCAAAGTCTAAGGGTTCAAAATAATGATACCTGAAGAAGCTCCACATTATGTCATGTAACGGAAGTCTGTTCCTTGTGAACCCTAAGAAAGGTTTGGCACAACTATACAGAAAAGGAAAAATAACTTTTCAATAGCAAAAACCTGGACATCCATATCGTACAAGTATTTCAAAAGAAGTATATGAGTCCCCAATTATACAACTATCAGATGCCTTGTGGTACCAGCCTCCAGATGTGTACAGTATGTCTGCTGTACCAGGCAGAGGATAGCTGTGTGCGAGTGGCAGCAGAGCTGCGAGCTCTGGAAAGAGCAGTGCGAGGTGCCAGATGGCCTCTTGGTTGCACAAGAGAGTTGAGATCACCTTTCTGAATGGAATGTTCAAGATCTCGAAGAATATCCTCCTGGGATGGCCAATAAGCATAGTTTCTGTGACCAGAAGGTTCAACCCATCCAAGATGGCAATTAGTGGCCAAGTATCTGATGATGGTACCCATATCTCCTTGTATTTTAAGCTCATGGGTGAAGGCAAGCAACCTCTTGTCAAAAATGTCTCCTGTTCTTCATCTTTCATGGAACCACCTTGGGATGCATTGGATGTCAGTGGAACTGTCAGCCCAAACTCCTTGGAAAAGGCATTCAAGATGCTCATGCCAAATCCAAAGAGGCAGGATCATCCTGCAAAACTCAGGACCAAAGTCAGTGTGGGCATTATAGGTAATGTAGACAAAGGTGTCATGAGGCATCAGTAAATCACTCTTGCTGGCCAGAGCTGTCCAGAGCTGTCCAGCACTGGACAGATTCCCTAGGACTACCAGCTCACAAAGTGGTCTACTGATGAGTGATGGTGAAAGCAGGGATGGTAAAGAGCAAAGGATCTTCATAGGTGATGGAGGGAAGGTCACAGCCATTGTAGTTGGCTATAGCATGAGGAGATGAAGAATGTGTCAGTTTGGGTATGAAGTCAGTAAAGTAGCCATGGTAGGCAATGTGAATCCCAGGACAGAAATAAGGTGAATTGAAGCCAGGAAAGTGGGGCATTAGTTGCCATGCTGTTTCCATGATGGTAAGTGGAACCAAGTAGGTCGCTGGGTTTGGCTTCTTGAAGAATGCCATGGAAGATGGCACAGCCTCACACCAGGAGCTACACTCTCTAACATACAGCATCTCTATGAATTCTATAATCTCTTTCACCACATACTTCCTCCACTTTGCTCCCTCATACATTCCATCCCAGTGTTCAGCAATTTGAGTTTCAAGATGCTTAGCAATGACCAAAGACATTCTTGAAGTAGATTAGTTCCTGTAATTAAATAGATAGAGGGCAAACAAGTTTTTAAAGTAAATCGAACTCTGCAATGTTGTCATTGACAACTGCAAGAACGAGCTCAGGGTTGAGCAACTCGTTCAAGACCTCAATCTCCTCAGCCAAAGGCATAGGAGCCCAACAAGGAGGAGCGGGATTGACTGCTTCTACCTCAGCATAGGGAGGTACAGGGTCAAGGTCAGTGTTGAAGTCAACATCCAGGAGATGAAAATGAAAGTAATGAGGAGGAGGAGTAGGTGGGCACATAACAAGTGCCTGCAGCAAGGCACGGTGCATGACTGCTTGTTCAAGCATTCACTGGCATTGGCACCACCACATGGAGAGACCTAGAAATGTCATCCAGAATGCTGTCAAGCTCACAAAGAGCCGACGCAGATCACCAGGACCATAAGCTCCATAATAAAGAAGTAAAACTGACTGTTGACAGCCAGTGAGAAGCGACAACACAATAGTGACTACCACTAACTCTAGCACATCTAGGCCTACACAATCCATAGTGATTTGCCCATCGGCAGTGATCTATTCTATGCAAATCACATAAATAGCACTCACCTAGAAGGCAGGGCTCATAACCTATTGTGCAGAGGATGGGCTATGGTACAAAGAGCAAAAGACAAGAGCACTTGCCTTTAATGAGTTAAATGGTAGATTTGAGAATAGACTTGTGGGGGCTCTTGTTCTTGTGAGAATGATAGAATGAATATAGAATTTGATGTAGACTAAGGGTCAAAAACCCTGAGTTTATATACATGTTTCCATATGCATGGATCAGTAATGTATATGGAAACTATTACTATGTATAGTAAAGAATAGCAGAGAATGCTATGGAATATGACACAATAAGTGATGTCATTCTGACATCACTGTGGAGCTGATTGCTAAGGCAAGTCATGTGATATAACATGTGTATCAAAACATGTTAGTCTAGATGAATCTAGATGTTGGTCATATTTCCAACACACACTTCAAGAGCACCTCAACCTGCAGAACAATCATCTGACTGACCATCAAATACAACTCTCTAGTGGCTCCCAACGAATTTGCTTTCCACAGATGTCCCCGCGGTTGGTAGCGGAAATGCAAACATGGGGCAGAGTATCATTGACGTTCAATTTCCATTGGCAATTTGGCGTTGCTCTGGTTTTGTTGTGCAGTGGCTATGACGTTATGTACGTGAAGCCGCACCCACTTGTCATGATGAAACATTGCTCACACATTTTGCGTCTGATCCTTAGGTGGAAGTTAAGCACCATTTCGTTCGTGTCTCACTCAGCTACTAGTGTGAGGGGGTGCGAAACTTTGATCTACACTAGCCCCACGTTACATAGCGAACGTAGGAAACTCCGAAGGCATGGTTTAATTGTAGGGACTTATTCCTATACTTAAGTCTTGACTCACAACCAAATGTGTACTAGTTCTTCGCTATTTCGCACAACAGAAGCATGCAAAGCTGCTTGCCGTGCTGTGATTGAACAGCGCTCGGAATTTGTATCCGACGGGCATGACTTCACCCATAGCCTAGCCATGTGCGTGGCGCAATGTATGGCATAGTGAAACATCGTTAGGGCCGCCTTGTAAACCTATGAAAAGGTACGTGCCCGATGTGGGAATTTGGTCTACCCGCTTTACCCAGCGAACGTGGAACGGATGAATTGACCGTATCAGGTGGGCTTCCCTTGGTCCCGTAAGTGTTAACTGACAAACAGCTGTGACAGAATGACGGGTCGCACAAGTTTCCATCATCAGGTGAAGTTGGACAACTACCCAAAGTCAAATTGAGGGGTGGGAAAACGAGGAGTCGTAACTCATATACCGAGTGCGTATTAGACCAGAACAGTTGACCCGTGCAGTGGACGGACTAAGCCCTCCCCCAACAGCAGATCTTTGGTATGTCTGAAGCGCATAGCAGATCCGGTGGGTTGTGGGGTGACTCAGCAGTGCAACTTAGTTTGTGGGTCTCAGGGGTTGATAATAGGGCGGTGTGATGTAGGCCTAGCCCCATTACTAGTCCCGTTACACCTGTCATCTTCCCTTGCGAAGCTAGTGTCATCCTGTTATAGTAGGCGCAGAGAGTCCTCTACATTCAGATGCACACAACAAGTGTGTTCCATGTTGGAAAAAAAATCCAGTGACAACCGCTACCACCTATCCTGGTTACTTCTTCCGCCATCGCTGCATGTGTTCTCATTCTGGTCCTTGCAACTCCAGCAGCACCTGTGCATACATGGACCGTCCCGGAAAGCCCCGACTAACCCGTTTGGCTATATCTCCCGGTTTACCCCATAGTCGAGAGGGGATGATTTTCTTCCATTCAGTCTTTGGTTGCCTATGGGTGACTAGGTTCGCCCATGGTATCGCGCTACTTCCCTCTGATGTCTTTCGGACGACGCTACACACTGATGGAAGTCCAAGAGGGACATTCAGCGCGCACCTTCGATGGATTCCGTTTCGACAACTAGTTGTGATATCGGATGAAACTGCCCCTGAAGCACTGATACATATAATCCATTATAAGTATACGACGAACAAAAAGGTCTGGTAAGTGTATCTCCCCCACTTACCACATTCGTTTTGTTGCAGAACTAGTATCGCTCTGTACTAATGATAGACGTGTGGAGTCTTCTCCGTCCGGGCGCATGTACTGCCAAAGCTGCTGTGGGAAATTGGGCGGGAAAAAAAAGAACAGTTGCATCTCGGATCCGCCAATCCAGGAATCTCCCATGCAGAAAACCGTCACCGAAGCTCTTCCATCAAAAAACTAATACCACTGGCTTCTGTGAGGATGAGACTTACCGTTAGTTATAACCCTCAGGTAGCCTTACGAGGCAAAAGGAACGGCTTGCAGGACGGGGAGGAAGGGGATATTTCATATTTCATACCAGCGTTATGCCGATTTATCTCGTGGAGGAGGAACAGAACGGCAGACATAGTGCGGAACTGCGAGAAATACACTTATACCGCTCTTCCCAACGCCCTAGTCAGAGCCACATCGCGCGCGCCGACATGCGTTTCTCCATTCATTGAATTCTCTACGTCCCCCAAAAGCTCCGGAGGGATCGTGGAGGGATCGCGAAGTGGCTGGCACTCATGCATAGATCTAACGCGGCACCTGAAGGCTGGGATCGAAGGTGTTTCCGGGTGTTCAACGATGCTAGCAGCGAATTGGTGTATACTACTTGACAGTAGCATAGGGTACAATTATCATCACTTGTAAGGCATGGAAGACTCACGTTTTCCAATGATGAAGTCCAACCCTGTTGTCCACGCATCGTAATGGTCAATGTCCTGAAAGGAAGTGTGAAAATAACATAGTCGTCGCCATGCAATAACTTATACATACCACAGCGAGCTGAGCAATGGCGACTAGTCTACGACAAGATACTTCAATCAGGTCACAGTTGAAAACTGGAGGGGGATGAAACTTACAATGTCAGCAAACACCGGTTAACAGCATGCGGTAGCAACCAGGAAGTTCAGGATCGAGGCATCACCAGAGTAGTGCATGTAATACACATAAGTCTATATAACTTGTGAATAGGGCACTAGCCTGAATATTTCGTTGAAAGAGCCTCTGGAGAGTGGTTACCCCATATAACCTTGAGGTTTAAAAGGGACATTAGAACGGAAGACATGACAGAACCAACCAAAGCCATACATATGTAGCAGAGAGCAACCCCCAATGAGGGTAGCACCTCACGAACAAATGAGTGAACGAGACACATTTAGGCTAAGAAAGGTTTTCATCGAACCCACCCGGGATGCCCATGACATTCAGGTAACTGGTATGGCGTCGTTGACCAATGTGCTACGGGGAGTGTGGACTAGAAAAAGTGATCGAGCGTGGGGAGGGCGTATTAATCTGATGGTAGAACGGACCTGTATTATTTGACGAAAGCTGCATTAAGATGATCTGGAGGACGTGTATCGCCCGAGCAGCCTTTCTTACAGCAATGATAGAAACCCCAATGCCAACGGCTAAATCCGATGACCTCGCCATTGCTGTAGCAGCGCAGCCTTCCTATGGTTCGTGTTCGGAAAGCCTGAGACATAGCTGAATATCGGGATCTCACTGCAAACAGCAGGGGTGCGAACGAAGGTCTGCCTGGCAAGCCTGTATGTCGCGGGAACCATTTCATATTGGGTATTTGTAGTTCAGGGTCCTAGGATGTTGATCTAATTTGGTCGGGCTGGTGCGCAAGATCATGCAGGCTCAGTTCGCTATAAAAATAATGAGCTAGTTCCAAACCTGTACATTAAATGGAAGACGTGGGGTACAGCAAGGCTCTGGACCCGTTGGCATAGAAACTCAGTTGGAATAATGGCAAGTGTTTGCTAACAATGTCGCCCATGGCATATACCAATATTGCCAATGCTGTGACGACACCAGTGAAGTACGACCACGGTGGAGAACTGCCAACCTGTCAACAGGGTAGCATAGCGGATGACTGACTCAAACAGTGACCCCCAAACACTCGATGGAGGCATTACGACCAAATAAACTTGAACGTGGCAAATACAGTAGAACGACTGCCCAAGCGCTCATCACCAGCCCAGCCTTTATTGTGGTCCAAAACGTCGTCAACTATCGTCTTCACTCTCCCTGTTACCACCCTGTTACCCTCGTTCATCCTTGCAACCTTCAACTCGAGGAGAACCAGCGCACACGGGCACCGTCCCAGCGGGCTCTCCGACCAGCCGACTTGGTCGAATTCATTGATTCACTCTTGGCACAACACTGTGCCCTCTGCCATCTTCAAGTTGCTCCCATTTTAGCTTGTACACTCTTGCAGACGTGCAGGACCTCAGTATACTCTTTTGTTTCAAATCCCCCTCAACTATCCGGTTGTTCACTACCAATCGGATGACCTGACATATAGCTGTACTATACAGGAACGAGCTGTGGCTGAATGACGGGCCGTAGAAGTTTTCGTCACCGGATGAAGCTTATCTCCGTGACTTGGACAACCTCCCACAGCCGAATGAGGACTCGCCACCGAGGGTGGCCCCAGAATTAACCTCAACCACCGGCTAATACCAACGGACCGGCGTTCTCAAATGAACTAATCCTTGCCTGAGGAACGGATAGTTGGCGGACACTATGGATTCATGACGACGCTCCGCATCCTCGCAACTCCGAGAAAATCTATCACGCCTGCCGTCCCAGCAGTCCAACCAACCCATTCGATCGTGTCCACCGACTCACGTATGACACCGTGCTGGCCACTTCCAACGTCTTTCGGACGGCATGTCTCACTCAGGCATCAGCTAGTACACCTTCGTATGTACGGACGTGAGTTCAACAAGGTCGCGGTGTACCATGTCGACCGGGTTAGCTATACGCTCGCATACCTAATCTTCACTGTCTGCCTTGTCAAAATCGTTTAAACGGGTACCTCGGGAAATCATAACCATAGGACCACATCCAAGCTGAAGATATGATGCATCGATTGCTGATATGATTGGGTTAATTAAAAACAGCGGTCACCAAAGAGACGTTTGTGTTTGCAATCGACGAGCGAGCACTTGCCTTCAGTCTTTCTTGGTCGTCTGGGAGGCATCACCTTCACCATTTCAGATGGTCCCAGATGTCCCCTCCGTGTCCAGGGCATTTCGCTTTGCAATAGCATCCCACGAGCGGCAAATCAAGTAGTCTCATACTCAGGAGATTTATAACCGTCACTGTCGCTCTTCACCGAGAAAACAGGACCACTAGCTTCTGTGACGATGTGTCTTACCGTAAGTTATAACCCTTCTGTGAGCTTCACGAAGCAAGAGGAGTGTCTTACACGTAGGTATGATGGTGAATGAGGAATGAAACTACTTATGTCGCACCTCTCTCGCCGTAGTCTTATCAAGTGCTAGATTAGTGGTAGGATCGACAACACCCCTGCGCATACGCTGAACTACCTTGCACCATTCTTTGAACTCTCTACATCTCCTGAAGGCTGCAGCGCGTTCGCGAGGTGGATAGTGCCGATGCGTAGATCGGACACGGTACCTGAGATTTGGGATCGAAGGTGTTCCCGCGAGTTTAGTGATGCTAGAAGCGAGTTCGCATATACTGTTCAATAGTAAGATGAGGTGTTCTGACCATCGCTTGCAGAGCATGGAAGACTGACGTTTTGCCATGATGAAGTCCATCCCTATTGACCATGCATCTTGGTGAAGAACACTCTGAAGGAAGTATGAGAGTAACATAGTCATAGTGCGATATGTCGAACGTACTGCGACAAGCTGTGCAACAGCGAGTAGTCTGCAAGGGAAAGCTCGAATCAAATTGCAGTTACAAACCAAAGAGGGATTAAACTAACAAAGTTAGCAAACAACGGTTAACAGCATAGATGATAAGCATATTCAGGAGACGTTTCGTTCTAAGCAGGGTTCATTAGGAACGAACCACCAGGGGTTAGTGGAGTCACCTTCGGAATGAAGAGTGAGAGCCACTGTCGTAGAAAAGTACGCAGAGTGCCCCCGCGATCAGAACTTCCGTTAGCACGATGGTGGCCAAACCAGGAATCACGGCGTAAGACTAGAAGAAATAAGTGAGCCGGCGCACCAAATTTCTTTCTTGATAGAAATACCGTAAACTGCGCAAGGTCGCTGGTCTTGTTATCGACGAAGCTATGAATGGAGATCAGTACCTCGAACACGGTTGGACAGGTTGAAGTACATCAGAACAGCCGTCTCTGCCTCTTGATTAGAACAGGCCTATCAAAGCGGAAGAAACGGACAGACCTACGCTAAACCCTATTGAAATATCTTTATAAATGCCTCGAGAGCGCAATAAAAACTCACCCCAGTGAGCAAACACGAACAGCACCTATGGTAGCCATGTTACTGGATCACACCTTTGCCATAACAAGTAAACATACTCACGATTGGGGCGGTCACCAACCGCCTCACTTGGGGACGACAAACTGGATGCCGGTCAACAGTGTCCTGAGATGCAAAGCTAAGTGTGACGTACGGTAATATATTTTATGTGCGAAAAAGCTAATAGCATTCGGCTTATGTATAAGGGTCATAATCATTCCACAGAAGATAGTCGCTTACCATTGAACGGAAAGAACCAAAAGTGACTGCAGAATAGTTAATCCCGATGATAGAATATTCTGGAGACAAAAGGAACGCACATTCATCAGAATTGATGCCTAAGCGGGGAAAACATAGCAAATCAGTGCCTTGTAGAACTTGGGGTATGCGTACTGGGAATGACCTGTCATAGGCCATCGGAGGAAATCAGGTTTGAAGTAGAGGACATAAGTACCAAACGACATAGTCCAAACCCGTCGGAACGCCATAATTAGTTATCTGCAGCGTTTGAACACAACAGTCACAAGGAGTGGGTGGATCGGTTTCACCAGGTAGTAGCACAAGTAATGACATACTGAGCGACTATTAGCCATGCATTCACTTGCAAGTACCCAAGTACTCACTGAAAGAAATATGCAAGGTGTCAAGAACCCTGACTTCGCGTCAGCAGGTTTGCAGGCGTCCAAAGTTGGCCTGACCCACCATATGGCAGCAACCAGGAATTTCATGGCCAGGCCATCCTCAGCATAGTGCATGAAATACACATAAGTCTGTATAACCAATAAGCGGAGCACTAGTCTGAACATTCTGTTGAAAACGCTCCTGGAAAATCATTATCCCATATAACCTAGACGCGAAATAAGGATATCAGCGGGCAGACATAACAGAAACAAGCAAAGCCAGACAACATGAAAGAGACAACACCACCAATGAGGGTAGGACCTATCACGAACAGATTAGCAGACAAGACTCTGCATTCGGCTACGAAAGGTCTTTACCAAACTCGCCCGAGATGCCCATGTCGTTTGGGGAACTTGTATAATGCGTACCCTCAGTGACGAACTTGCTAGTGCGATGTGTGGATGGAGAAGTGATTGGGGGTGACGACAGCGATATCAAGGCTCAGAGCAACCCTGCCATATTTTTAAGGATGGAGGCTGAACTACAATGATCCGGAGGACCCTTATGATCGTCCTGTAGGCATTTCTTACAGGAATGGTGAAAACCCCAATGCCTTAAATCCAATAATCTTGCCATTGCTGTAGTAAGCACAGCTGCAGGCCTGCTATATAATCCCCGGTTTCGGTGGAAGGCACTATAGGCACATCGTCCTCAGGAAGCCTAAGACAGCCACAAAAATGCTGAACGTTGGGAGTTCATTTACTCACGAAGTGCTAGCAGCAGGGAGGCGAGCGACTTTGCTAAAGCCGTGCGTTGCGCGACTGAGAAGAGACCATGTCATTTGCTTGCAGTCTTGCTTGTTCTGATTTGGTAATGCGTTGGCGTGTATGTAAGATGAGTGGCAGCACTGGCCATAAAATGTTGGTTCCATCCCCCTCTATGAAAAGGAAGACATTGAATACGACACTCTGGACATACAGCGTATCATGATGGCAAGTGCTCGCCATCATCGCCATGAACCGCCTATCATACGATGTGCAAATGGAGACCACGATCATGTATGACCCGCCAATGGGTTCCTCGGTTCTACATATCCGCCGGTTCAAAACACCCAACGGTTACCTATCATACCCGTGGTACTGGTATGCCACCATCCTCTGGTGTCTTTCGAACGGCACGTCGCACAGGTTTCAGCCGGCACACTCGGACGATTGTCGTCCCGTCATGTATGGCAAGGCCAAAATGTACCGTGATCGTCTAGGTCTTGCTCAGCTACCGTGCACGCTCTTTCACTTTCGCAAACTCATCTCGGGAACCTTACTGTTGCAATTAATGATACTTATCTCTTCGTGCAGGCAGACGAAACAAGGCTTCGCCCTTAAGTCCGCTCTGTCAGAGCAGCATACATTGTGCCATCGCCCTTTCGCCCACCACACCTTACTTCAGGACCTTGGATACTACTCGTATCCCACTGCCCAGGGTTTCGCATCGCTGCTACTCATCCGCACTTGCCGCCGCGCCGAACAAGTTCCGAACCTTAGTGAAGATCCTGCCACACTTGTCGGGAGTCCATTGTTGTGTAACCCGGCATGCCCTCCCTCTCGTGCAGGGCCCGGGGGATCGCTCCAGTTCTTCCAAGTTATGCCGCCCTGGATTGGCTTCGCGTTCCTCGGGACGTGTTGCCAGCACTTGCTGATCGAAAGACTCATGTGCAACCCCTTCCACCGGCCTTGTCCGTATCCTCAAGGCTCGGGCGTGACCAAAGGTAACATGGATTATCAGTTATCACGATCCCGCCATTCGGCTCCGCCCTTCTGGGAAGATCATCGTCAGCTCATCAGAGTACCTCCCCTCAAAGCCCAGAAAATTAACAAGGTCGCAAGAATATACCTGGTGCCATCCACACGGACGGTGTCCTTATATTTATGAGCATCCCTTACATCTGACTTCGAATCTGAGTATTGTCACTGCTAGACGTCATCGGACACCACAGAAAGCCGCATAGACTCTGTCTTCTCTGCAACTGATTCAGATCAACCTCGATGTGCACCCAACACCAGAGAGGTCGATCCGATCCGGGTGACCCCCCAATTTCGTTGGCAGCCAGTTCGCCTCATTTTAGTGCTGGATTAACTGAGTACTGGGGCACGGGTGTGTTCATCCCACTTAGAGGCTTGTCGTCCCCAATCGTGAAGGTGCAAGTAACCATGTCTCAGCACTTGTGTTTGCACTGGAACCTGCTTGAAACAGCGTCGGAGCTCGTTCCGTGAGGTGATGTGACAATTGATCTACCCCAGCCCACCTTACCCAGTGAATGCAGGAAGGGATGGTTTTTCCGCGGAGGGTGGCTTTGCTTATTCCCCTAAGTGTTGACTGATGAACAGTTGTTTCTACACGTAACACGGGAGCCACTTGTGGCAGAATGCCGAGTCGTATAAGCCTCCATCATTGGGTGAGGTTTGTCCCCCTGACCTGGACGACTACCCGAATGAGGGCTGGCAAACAGGATGACGTCCGAATTGATCTCAATCAGTGGCGAGTGCCCTTCCGCCGCATTTTCAAACGAATAGATTCTTATATTAATCTAATTGTGTCACATACCAGTGCCTAGGAGATTCATGCCCACATCAGATCCTACCGAAGAACAGGTCTAATTCCGTCGGGTTCCCGCTGGAATAGAAATCGACCAGTGCAATTGATACTCTAAGCCGTCTCCGACAGCAGATCTAGTGACATGTTCAAAGCGCACAACGGGTACGGTTGGCCATTGGGAAGTCCTGGTCACTCGTGCACAGGTGAGCTGGCGAGTCATAAAGTCGGTTGATCACTGGTAGGGTTACTACCCTCTGGACGCTTCGCAGTAATATCACGAAAAAAAAAAAAAAAAGAAAAAAAAAAAACTGACTGCGCCTCCTCGCGCCAGGCTTCCTGATGCAAAAACCGGTGGATTATGCTAGACTCTATGCAGCCCTGTACCGTCACTGATAACCTGTTGTTAGCCCCACGAGGCAAGACGAGCGTCGTGCAGAGAAAACCTGCATCAAGTTATGGTTATGAATGCAAGAGGGCTCAGGCTCACAACGTCAGCAAACACCGGTTAACAGCATATGCGATAAGCGTGTTCAGGAGGCGCCTCGTTCTGAGCGGGATCCGTCAGGAATGAACCATCGGCGCGGACTCGAGTTACCTTGGAGTCGCGGAGCAAGAGCCGTCATACAAAAGTATGCAAAGTGACACCGTAATCAGAACCTCAGCCGGCAGGAGGACAGTCCAACCGGGTATTAAGACGTAATTCTAGGAATGACGATTCGTCAGCCCGTGCACCGTTTCTCTGTTAACAGAACCACCCTAATCTGCATAAGGGAGCTGATGTCCTTATGGCCAAACCTATACGCGAATATCAGTATTTCAGTGGAAATGGTTGGACAGGTCGAGGTACATCCAAACAGCCGTCTCTGCTTCATGATTAGAATAAGTGCATCGCGGAAGAAAAACACGAACCCATGCAAAACCCTGATGAAACTTTGTCCAGATGCCTCCTAAGCATAATATATACGACACTCACCGAAGCGAACTAGTGCGAATAGCAGCTATTGCGGCCACGTCACTGGATGTCATTTTTGATAAAGCAGAAGGTACTCACAATTGGGGCGGTCACCAACCATTTCACTTGACGGCGACAAACTGAATCCGGATCAACAAACCCAAAGCCTGGTAATTCTGACTACTCCAAACTCGTCGGAACACCATAATTGGTTATCTGCGATGATTTAACACAACAGTCACGACGAGTAGACGCATTAGCTTCATCAGGTAGTAGTACAGGAAATGACATACTAATCGCCCATTAGTGACGCATTCACTCGGAAATGTCGAGTACTCACTGAAGAAGACATGTGGGGTATCAAGGGTCCTGAATTCGCATGAGCAAATTTGATGGGTGTCAGAAGGTAGTCCGTCTTACCACAAAGCAGCAATGAGGAATTTCATGGCCAAGGCATACTACAGTTGTCTCTGGTATATAAACTTGTAGATACCCAGCCTGTACTCTTCAGTTGGAAATCAACAAAGTTACTCTGATAATCCTGCCTCAGCCTTGGACTTGGACTGAGACCCACACAAGGGAATAGCACTGTAATCTCAGTTGCTAAGTCCAATCAGTCCACCCCCCTGTATCTTCAACCCTCCTCCTGATCCCAACCCCTCAGCCTCACACCCTCTTTGGTCTCCAGTCTGGCCTCAACCTGGACAACCCAAACTTGACACTACTCTCAGTCTTGATAACATCTTCATGCCAACTCCAACTGGCCTGGATGATGAATATATGATCAATCTTGCCAGTGCTCCACTTGATTCAAATGGAGATGTTCTTCACTGGTATCTTGATGCTGTTGAACAGTCCACTGAAATGGCAGTTGAGTCAGTCACTCCTGCTGTTCCACCACCACATACTGATTCACCCTGCCACTGCTCTATCTGTACTTGATCTCTAGGGATGAGTTTTCAGCAAATGGACTTATCCCCATGGGGACTCTCACAATGGATGAGTCCATCATCTGATTTTGGGTTGGTTTCAGGATGGCATGAACTGGATTCATGTCCAACTGGATCATCCAAGATTGGAGTGGGAGATACCATTGTGGCTGAGCAGGGATTGGGAGGACAGGTATCTGTTATTCAGAAACCTGGCAAGAATTTGTGAAAGAGGCATAATTGCAACCATAACATGGTTTCACTGAGAGACTTTCATGCTTCTGTACCAGATATAGTAAATCTGCCTTTTAGGTGTAAATATTCCCCAAGGACTGCTAGCCTAGATCCTTTGTATAATCCCAATCACTCTGCCTCAGGTTATTACCCTGGTGAGTACAACTGCAATGCATCTGATGCTTTTGACTTGTATGCTTCTGGCCTGGGAGATTTTCTAGAGAAAGTGATCAAATATGTCACCAAACAAACTGTTTAGATGTTGGATTCTGGGTGTACAGATCATGTTACACCATTCAAAACTGATCTGCTAACCTATACTCCTTTTTCTTGCAAAACTACCACTTCTACTGCTGGTAAAACTCCCATCATTTTGCATGGGTACAGCACTGCAGTACTCTGCTTACAGCAAGGTGGTACTATAACCCTGCAACATGTTATCTGGAGTCTGCAATTTTCAAAGCAACTTTGCTCCAGAAATGCACTCTTAAAACAGGGGTACAAGAGTGAAGCAACAAATACCTCAGAAGTTATTTGAACACCAACAGGCTGGGTTTTACTGGAAGCAACTAAGCTCTTCAGTCATTCACTGCTACTCTGGTTTGTGGGCATACTGCTTCCACCCTCCAGTCAATATGTGGCCCTTTGCCTGTCGGTTAAGGAAATCCCTTTATCTCAATTATGGCACAATTGCTTGGCTCATCCAGTGAACAATATTCTGTGCCATTTGTGCTGTCTTGGTCTTCAGGAGTTGATCTCCAATCCTCCTACTTCTTGTAAAGGTTGTGCTCAGGGCAAGATGTTTTCTGACTCTTTTAAGCCTTCTTAAAAATGTGTGACAGCTCCTCTTGGGCTTGTCCATGCTGACCTGTTGGATCTACCTGTGGAATCTTACTTCCACTCTTGCTGTGTCCTTACTTTGTTGGATGACTACTCTTCTTTTGGCTTTTGGCTTTACCTTCGCAATAAGTCCAATGCTGCTGCTCAATTCCAGATCTGGTTAACTGGCATTGAATGTCAGACTGGTGTCTTGATGAAGGCACTCCATTCAGATTGAGGGGGAGAGTCTTTGGCTACCACTTTCAGGACAATCCTTTTGTTGTGTGGAATAGTCCATCAGCTTTCAATTGCTGATCATCCTCAACAAAATGGTCATGCTGAATGCTTTAATTGCACAATCTTGGAAAAATCTGGAACCATACATCATCATGCTTGCATTCCAAAACAGTTCTGGAACTTTGTGTTCAACTGTACCTTGCATGTCTACAGTCACACTCCACTCAAACAAATCCTTTTCAAGACTCCTGTCAAGTTGTTTCTTGGCAAAATCCCTGACATAACATATTTCTGCACTTTTGGGTGTAAAGCCTATGTTTGGATCCCTAAGGATCAATGAGGTGATAAACTTGACCCCCATGCAGAAGAAATGGTCTTTCTCAGCTATGAGCCTGAGACTAAAGGTTATCATTTCTTGAGAGGACAAAAAATTGTTATCACAAAAACTGTGAAATTTGTAGAAGACCACTTTCCTTTTTGTTTGAATTTGAAGGAGAAATCTGATAACTTTGGCCCTCAAAATACTGATTCAAATGACCCATTTTCCGATCCTCCTTACCAACCTGGGACTGATCATCCCAATGAGGAACCTATTCCCATTCTGCCATCAATCCAATTACCACCCATTCCAAACCCACAGCAGGGAGGTCAGGACCAACAACCACAAAGACCTCCTAGGAAACCTGCTGCTGGACCACCTCCAGTTGACCCTTGACTAGTTGAGCATCCTCATCAACCTTGGGCTGCTCCTAGAAGAGAACCTTGTCCACAACACAATATTGTTCCACCTGCACATCCTGGTAATATTTATGGTGACTGCAGAAATCCTGTTGATATTGAAAGAGAAATTCATGAGAATCATGATTGTGCTGAACAGTGGATTCGCAATGCAGAACATAATATCCACAAATGACAGGAAGCACTTCATAGATGGGAGGAAGAAAGGTGACCACCTTCACTGCAGTTGCCACAACATATGCTACCTCCTCAGGTACCAAGAGAGTGGACTCAGCATCATGCTTTGACTCCACCTTCTCCCTTAACTCCTCTTCCTCTGTCTCTGTCTCCTCAAGTGGAACAAAAGCAACATCCTGATATGAAGCCTTTTGATGTGTTACTTGCTGCTCATGTCAAGGAGTCTCCTGAACATTACAAGGACATTTTAA